CAACAGTCCTGGTTTGCCGAGTCAGGCCCAGCTAGGCCTCAGGAACTACTGAGGCCTCTGCCTTAATACCTGAGCCTCATGGAGCCCTGGCCAGCCCCTGTTCCGCCCTTGTCTGGGTCCCAGGGCCCTCACTTGGAGCCTGAGGGAGGGATAGCTGGAATGTCTACCATCCTGTACCTTGTGGGAGTCCAGCAGGTCCCTGCCACACACAGATAGTGCTCCAGGGAGGACAGCCTCATTCTGTCCTGGCAGGACACAGAAGAGGTAACAAGTGGCCAGCAGGGTCCAGGTATCACCAGATGGAGGAACTGGGCAGCTGGCTCAGAGTGTGTTTGGGGGCTGAGCCAACAGAGCTCAGTGTGAGGTGAGACCTGTGGCCTGTCCTAGAGCTCGGGCTCTCCCAAACCTTCTTCCCCCAGTGGTCCTGTCTAGGCCACCGACTCCTTGATCTTTGTCTTTTATAATGACTCATGAAAACCTGATCTCAAAAGGAAATCCTGTGAATATAAATCATGATGGTGACTGCAGGCCCCTACCTGCCGAGAGCACTCAGGCTTCTGTCATGAGACCTGCATCTAAAAATACTCACCGGGGGCCCACTGCACACTCAGCTCTGATCTTTGTGCCCCAAGACCCCACACTGTGCCCCTGGGGTGGATCCCCTCTGGGAAGTGATATGTTCACACTCTGGAGCTTGGGGGCTGGGGACAGGGTCCAGAGCTCTGGACCAAGGAGCAGTATAGTGGTTGTCAGCAGATGCCAGAAAGTGAGGGGATGGTACAGGCTGTGTTTGGGGGACAGGGGAGCAGGAAGCCTGAGGCTGTGGAGGCACCGGGGCAGTGAGAGGTGATGTTGGACCTGGGCATTGGAGGAAGGAGCACCATAGGGGTGGCCTCTGGGGGCATGGGGATGGCAGTGGGCTTTGTCCCTCCTTCCTTCCCAGCCTCCTTTCCCACACCCTAGCACCCACTAACCCACTTCCTGTCTCTGTGGGTCTCCCTCCTCTGGTCATTTCACATAAATGGAATCACACACTCTGGTCTTTTGTGTCTGGCTTCTCTCACTGACTCTTGTGTTCAAGGTTCAACCATAGTGAGTGTCAGTGCTTCAGTCCTTTTCATAGCTGAGTAATATTCCAATGCAGTGATTTTCAACCTTTTTCATCTCATGACACACATAAACGAATTGCTAAAATTCTGTGGCACACCAAAAAATATTCTCATCAGTCTGACAAAAAAATAGATATAATTTTGACTCATTCACGTCAGGCAGCTGTTGTTGTGTTGGCTGTTGTCATTTTTTTAATTTGACAATCTAAGGAAAGAGGTTGGTGCCCAGACTAAACAGTCTGGTATTGCATGTTTTAAAAATGATTGCTGCACACTAGTTGAAAATTGGTGTTCTAGTGTATTTGTCTATTCATTAGCTGATGGACACTTTGGTGGTTTCCACTTTTTGGCTGTTGTGAATTGTGCAGCTAAGGACATCTGGGTACGGGTTTTATGTGGACTTGAGTCTTCCTTTCTCCTGGGTGGCCACCTAGGAGCAGAATTGCTGGATCTGTGGCGACTGTGTTTAATTGCTTGAGGAACTGCTGATGTCCAAGCAGCCATACCCGCCCACCACGTGCTCCATGGGCCCGAACCCTGTCTGTGAAAGGAGAGGATGCACACGCTCCCCAGGGTCTTAGTTCCCTGGGTCTCAGCCCTCTGGGTCTTGGCTCCCAGCAGAATCTGGAGCCCTCCCCACAGATGACAGACCTCTTTCTCTGAAGGAATGTAATGGCTGGACCACGGGTGAGGGAGGACACAGTGCTTGAGCTTTCTGGGGCTGCCAAACAGGTTCCATGGGGGGGGCGTGTTTGTGGACACAGCTGACCCTGGTTCCTGGGACGGGCTCCTGGGGCTCCAGAAGGGGCAGGAGGGGCCATGCAGGTTAGAGGGATGTGGACGAGGGGTGAGCATGGGGGCAGACGTGCTGCTGGTGGGGGTCTCTTGGGCACAGTGTATCCTGAGGACAGCCCAAGGATCCCTGGGAGCCACCCATGGTGCCCCCCCCCCCC